TTATTTTTTCTCAAAAATTTTTAGAAAAAAATCAGTATCTTGAATTTGTCTAGAGTCCATTTGCTACATTATTTACGATGGACAGAATTGGATGTTAGGTGGAAATGTTATCTGCACATTCCCTCCAGCGGCTGCCACCGATATTCTCCGCCGCAAGCCACCCATCTCCGCCTCCTTGCCTCCTCCATCTATTGCTGCCGGAATGCCTCTAAGCCTGGTGGCGATCAAGATGTAGCTTCGGCCACCACGAGACGTGCTGCTTTGATTGCCCTGCTTCAGGCTGCCAGAGCCTTATTTCTCCAGTCGACTGTCACCAGGGTGGAGAAGAAACTTCCAGTCAATGGCAGCGAATGCCTCCTCCCTAGGGATGCCACTACACAGGCTCCTGCTAGGGGTGTCAAAACCAAATAATATACCCGAACTGGAACATGAACCGACCTGATCCGACCCGAAGTTTTGGGTATTTTCGGGCCGGGTCAACTTCATGTTCGGGTATTAGCTAAGCAAATGGGTATCTCGATAATTTTGGTTCGGTTCGTGTTCATAAACACGAACCAAACCGAAACATATATATTTTTATTTTTATTTTTTATTTTTAGAACTGAAACACATTTCATTTTGTAGCACTGTCGTTCAACTTCGCCCTCCTCCGGAACGTGAAATTGCCCGCCGTCGTCAACTTTGTCCTCCTCAACAACTTTGCCTTTGTCCTCCAATCGTAAGTCATTCTTTCACCTGCAGTTTTCCCAAACGGAAGTGGCTGTTGGCGTCTGGCCAGAGAACTCTCATGGGAGAACATTCAGCGAAGCTCTCAAGCAGCACTAAAGGGTGACTACATTTGGACATATAGCTAAATAAGTAAACTATATATGAATTTCTTTCCACCTGCGATGATTTCGGGGACATGTCTGGAGCTTTGGTGATTTCGGGGCATCCTTCCATCGATCCGAAGCCAGTGGGCCATGGAGGGAGCTCGAGAGCGTGGTGGCGATTTGGAGACGAACCACTGTTGTGACTTTCTAGAATTCATTGTTTGAAACACAAAATCTGGACCGATCCGATCTGACCCGGCCCGACCCGATCATGTGGCTATATCCTGTTCGGGTCTTGTCTTGGATCGGGCCGAGCACACGTATCTAGTATTTTTGGTCGGGTCGGGTATCATAAAAACCCAACCCATTGACACCCCTAGCTCCTGCGGTGGAGAAAGAGAAGGACTTGATAATTTGAGAATATACGATGCAACAATGATAGGAGAGCCGGGGGGAAGGATTAGAGTAAGGTGTGGGAGAAGCTGATGAATGCCCGGATTGTTTATTTAGGCGAGGCTGAGCAGGTGCCAACGTGTTCCCATCTCCAGAAGACTTTCGGGCACGCAATACTTTCTTCTCTTTCTCACGAGTTTCCTTCCCTTCTTATGAACTGCCTCCACTGCCTGCCTGCTCTCAAGCCTATTTAAATGCTCAAATCGGATGTTCTTCGCCTCCTCCTATCTAAGGAGAACTTTCCACACGAGATTGACGGGTGAAGGTATCGACAAAGGAGGTACACTACTTGAGAAGTGAAAATGGATTGGTCTACGGAATGGCCAGAAATAGAAATAGTAGTGAAACATCACTGCTCTGGAAATCGTGTTGATCATCTTGGGCTGCTCTACCCGATGAGGAATTCTGGTGGGATGGCCGCTGAAGATGTTCAAACCGCCGAGAGTGGTGGTCATTTTGCGGGCGCATACACCCAATTTAATTAAATAGGAAAATCTGCCACCCGTGAAGGCTAGTAGATTATTATATTCTTGTTGAGGATTTTTTTTTGTGGTCTAATTTTCAATCAAATCTATTATCTTCCTTTGTATTAATGGCTCCACAATGGTCATGTTTTGATGCCAAAATCGGACTTTGAGCAAAAGAAAACAATAAGTCAATTACTGTTCACTGTGCAATTCACGTACTATCCATGTGCAATTCGCGTGTGATTCACGTACGAGCCACGTGCTATTCACGTGTGATCCACGTGCGATTCATGTGCAATGAATGGATTATAATCATCACTAGTATTTCTAAACATTGAAAGCTCGACTAATGAGCTTTCGGTAAGAGAAAAATCGAGTGAATTAGACGTCGGAAGGAAAAATTATTTATAATTAAAATTCAGTTATTTTTTCTTAAAATTCTTTTGGAAATACATCAATATCTTGAATTTGTCTAGAGACCGAATTATTTACGGTTGACTGAATTGGATAGCGAGCGGAAATGTCATTTGCACATTGTGCTAAGTAATATTGCCACTATGCATAACATTGATTCTATTTACTAGTTACTTTCCTCAATATTCATACGGATCGTAGGGATCTCAAACGAGTGAGTCGGGGGTGAGTGGAAAATGGTTCGACCCATTTAACCCATTTTAACCCATATTCATATAATGCAAATCTAACGATCCAAACCCGACCCAACCCATTGCCGACCTGACCTGTATTGCTAAAAGGCTTTAATATTAAATCCAATTTAGAAAAACTTGTTTATAATATATATATTGCTAAACTATTGTGGATCATTTTTATAATTTTAAAAAATATTTGATTTTTTTAGATTTTTCTTTTTCTTTCTTGCTTTTCCTTTTTTTCTTCTATGTTCGGCGACAAACGGTGATTGGCGATTGGCACTCCTTTTAATATTTTTTATTATTTTATTTTATTTTTTCTTTTTCCTTCTTCATCGAACGGCCGTGGGCGTGGCCGACGACTGGCGACGGCCACAAGCGACGGACAAGCTCCCAAGCGTTGGGCGAGCTCGAGCTCACCAGAAGTCAACGAGGCCTTGAGGCTCACCAGATCAGTGAGGCTCTAGGCTCGCTAGAGATCGGCGAGGCCTCGGCATCGCCAAAGGCCGGTAAGCTCATCCCACGCTTGTGGCCGGCCGTCGCCATGGCCGGTCACCGGCTAAGGAAGAAGAAAAAATAAAAAGAAGGAAAGAAAAGAAAAAATTATTTAAAAAATCAGAAAATTAGAAAAAATTAAAAATGACATGTTTATGATTCACTTAAATTTATCTTTAAAACTAAAGGCAACCCATTTAAGCTTATCTTTAAAACTAAAGCCAATCAATTTATGACCCATTCAAGATTCATTTAAAACCCATTAAGTTACTAAGTAATCCATTTATGACCCATTTAAGTTTATCTTTAAAACTAAAACTAACCCAATTATGATCCATAAAATTAAATATGAGTTAAAATATGAGTTCTTAACCCATTTTGCCACCTCTATGCATTTGCTAATGACCTATTTGATGAGATTAATGTTTGCTGAAATATTGGTCCGTCTTTGTTTATCATGGTTACAAAACCTCAGTGGAGATATGGCATGGAATCTGATGGGTTATTTATATGCGTCAACGGCGACTAATTTAAATATTTATAGGCAAACAATATTCTACAACAAATAATCAATCATGCGAAAAACATAATATGCACAAACATGGGAAAATTACAAAAAAAGTCTTAAACCTATTATAATTGTGCCAATTTAATCATAAACCTTTTTTTTGCCTATCCAGTCATAAACATTTTGCATTTGTGCCAATTTAATCCATTCGGCCAATTTTAGCCACCCGGCGCTAACATGGACCCTGACCGGCGCCGGCTATCCGGTCGACGCTGACGTGGATAATTTTTTATCCGCGCTGGCCCCTGTAGGGAAAAAAAAAAGAAAAGATTAATAAAAAATTTGAATAAATAAAATATTATAAAAAATTATCCACGTCAACATCGACCAGACAGCCAGCATCCACGTCAGCGTTGACCGGCCAAAATTAGCCAGATGGACTGAATTGACACAAATGTAAAAAGTTTATGACTGAATTGATAAAATAAAATGTTTAAGACTGAATTAACACAACTTCAACAGGTTTAAGACTTTTTTTTGTAATTTTCCCCACAAATACTCTAAATAGTGATACGAAGTCTACTCGAGTGATGAATATGGTTTGGACTTTGCCTAGTGTATTCTCCAAATTTGCTCGAGATGATCCGCAAAATCCATTCAAAACACGAGGATGATGATATAGCTCGATTCATCGTTACAAATCCGACCCAAAATCACAAAACATATTCTCTCCAATACAATCGCATCACTTTATAACTGAAAGAGCAAATTTGAGTTTGAGAGGATTCAAAAATTCTTACATGCAATAATCTTTGTGGTTCAACCCCCTAACAACTTGAGGCAAGCTTTTTATCATAAGACAGCGAAAACTAGGAGTTACCCTACCCCAAACAGTCAAATTCCGGACAGGTTTACAGAATTTGGTGCTCGAGTAGAGGTCCGGGCATACTAGCCATCACCCGGGCACCCCGATCACCAGAGGACCGGCTTTCATTTTCTCAAATCAGGGCAAGGGTCGAACATGACATTCAATGGCACAAGGGCCCGATTCTAACTTACCAGGAAAGTAGGTTCAGGCTTCCAGCGGCATTTTTCGGAGAATTGATAAAGGCAAAGTCAATAACGCTAACGACACGTTTTGCAATATCTCCGCGAGTGCCGCTAAAACCTTGGGCATTCGTTATCTTTCATTATTCCATGTTCATTCGATCTCAACTCAATCTAACTCGAACGCATAAACCGAAATCATTAGCAAAGTCGAGATTTTCGTAATCACCAAAGCCTGCTAGATTAGCAAACGAGTACATAATTGCGTCTAAATTAAGCATGATAAATGAATGCTGCTCCCGAAGCAACTCGGCCGACAGTTTTAATGAATAGGGACTCATTGTTCAGAATGTACTGATTGATATCATATGATACGAGAGAGCCAACTTGGTCGGCAAAAGAGCCCGATGCATCCTATGGTGCCACCAAGTATACCTAGCAGTACCCGAACAAAACGAAAGAACTGCCAGTGTAAATAAGCTTCTACAAAGAATGAATCCAACAAAATCTATACAGATCGTCACCTATCATACCGAAACTACTCCGTAAACCATGTAAAAGACTGCTCCTTCGATTCAGCAGTATGATATACCGGTGTGATAAGAGCAACTGGCCATGACGATCTTGACGAAGGTGAAGCCAAACTGGTAACTTGCCAATGAGCATATGAACTGGGAACTCAAGCAGGATGATTGCAGAAGCACAGTCTTCTACGACTTGACTAGGCCCCCGAGATTGAACTTCCTACCGATTAGGATTTCAAGAGTTCCTCTTGCCCTGCGTCTTGTCTTGTTTGATCGGCCGGTTGACTAGGAAACAGCATGTCAATGGTGACTTCCCATGAGATCGGCAAGACCGATCTTCCCACAGTTGCCAGTGTCCAGTCTGTCGAACTTGTTGCAGATCTGAAATATGTCTTTCTCTGACACCTTCCCCATTTCCTTGAGCTTGTATATGACATATTCAGATTTACTGCAAAACACAACAATGACAAACTCACATTAATGGGAGCTCCATACAAGATTCAGAACGAACGAAGCGGAAAGACTCCCGGAAGATGTAAGAGGAATTATGATGAAAAAGAGGACTTCATCATGCAACAGGAAAGTGAAGCAGGGTATGAGTAATTGGGTGATGAACATGAAACATACGCGCTACCCAGGGAGGAATTTCCTAGACCCGGGGAACTGGGAATGCTGGATGAGGTGCATCTGTACCACAGATCATACATGTTCCACGTGGGGCTTACATGACCAACGACTCAAATAGATGCGGACCAATGGAGCCGGGCACAGGCTACGTTTCTTACAAACTCAACATGGTAACAAAACACTGATACTTTCTGGGTTGGGAATATATACTAATACTCATACTGTAAGCGTATTCAATAAGATATCATCTATAACTTCCTCATCTATGAAGAAAAAGTCATAAAAGGAAAGCTAACAAATTGACACACATAACTAGAACCTGTCTAAAAGTACAAATGGAAGTTCAAAATTTTCATAATCACAAACAAACGAAGAGATTATAGCCAAAAACTAGAATAGCTGAAATTCTAAAAGCATCCATGTATTACTGTACATAGAACAGATGTAACCTGAGTGAAAACTCTAAAGTTATTCAACAGTTCAAAAAATCATGGACAACTAACTGAACCGGTTAAAGGTTAGTCAATCGTCATTAAATATACTAGGAGCATCTTATTTTAAATTGCTAAAACTGCAAATTCTTTCAGATAAAGCATAGGCACTTATCAAAAAGAAAAGGGCAAACCCATCGTCCGTTTGCTTGAGATATTGTTCATTTCGATGTCATATTAATTCTGCTCATGGTGAACTCATGTCAGAAACTCGACCAGTCCAGGAGAAGGGAAGGTGGCATAGTGAGGAGGGAGACCTAAGAAAGCCAGGGGCACTCTGTTGGAAAAGATGCAATAGAATGAACCTCACTGAAAACAAATTCTGAAAGTGGATTATATAAGAACTAAGGCATTTCTCATCATGTTTGACTTAGCATAAATCGCATAAAATAATGCAATAATCTGCACCCTTCTTAAATGACGAAAATATCTGAATCAGTGACCCGAACTTTTAAATAGTAATTGTAAAATTAACTAAGATATACGAGGTTCTAATAGAAATTCAAGCTTTGTAAAGCATGAAATAAAAGGAGATTTCCGGTAGCTAGAGCGACCAATTACTAAATAGTGTCATTCGCTACATAAGCTTAACCCAGAAGACATACTCCCCACTCAGACGAAGCTCGACTCAGAAACTAAACCAAGGTGAGCAGGATGCAAATGTAAATTAATAAATATGAGTATGTCCTAGTACAATAACTTAATCAGAACTATAAACTATTCCAATTACCTTTTCAGATATAACCCTTAACGCTAGATAATGCTTAAAAGCGAAAGCCGACTTATGAACACATTGTGTTGGTACTTACTTAGTAAAGGAATTCATAATGTGACATAAGGTCTTACCATGATAAAGGGAACAGAGCATACCTAACGAAGCCGTTGTTGTCGATGTCAGCTGCCAGGAACTCAGCTATGGTCATATCATGACCAAGCACCCACTTCGCAATCCTCCTCTGTCGCTTATCGACTCTTGCCTCAGCCAAATAGAGAAAAGCCCGCGCAACTGCCAGCGTCGACACTAATAACCAAATGGATGCAAAAATACGACCAGGCAATGATGTGAATGCACGGTCCCCATACCCGACCGTGGTAACCGACATCACCGAGAAGTAAAAGGAATCTAACCAGCCAAGCCTCTCGACAAAATGCATCACGGCCACACCGATTCCAATACAAAGAACCACAACACCTAAGGCCAATGCCACCTTCATCCTTATCCTCATCCTCCCCTTCTTCAAATCGATTAGGTAGGATCCTCCGTAATCCTTCTTTCCACTCCTATTTTGTGCCGCCCTCAACAAGTAACTCTCTTGCAGATCAAGAACATAACTAACCATCCCAGACAACAAAATATCGATAAATCCGAACCCCACCAACACAAACATTATAGAAAACATCTTCGTTGCGGCGGTATTCGGTGTGATATCGCCATACCCAATCGTGCACATAGTGACGACGCAAAAATACAGAGCATCCACGACAGGGTGAGTCTCGGTAGCGGTAAAGTTTTCACGGTTGTACCAGTAAATAGCCACACCGAACGACAAATAAGCAACTAAAAGTATCACCGCCTGACGGACAATCGACTGAGAACTGGACTGGGGCTTCGGCTGAGCAGGTTGGTGATCAACGTCATTCAAAACCGCCATCGCCGGTGCCGTCTTGGAGCGGTGCAGATGGGATTTCTTCGGGCACGCCACGTTACAATCAGCCAAGCGAGACTCTTGCGCATGGAAAGGCGGTGGCGCGAACTGGTCTCGAGAAGAGGATGGTCTGGGCGAACTCACGGACTGAGTCAACGCATCGACGATCTGGGAAGTGTGCTCCGGAGATCGGGACGGCCCGAAGATGAGGCGGTCCTTGAGCTCCGACGGAGTGAGGGGCAGAGGGATGGAGATCTCGTCGTCCTCCGGGAGCGACAAGAGGGACGGCCGCCTCCTCCCGGGGCTCGCATACGGAAGCAGAGGCTCCTTCTCCATACTAATCAATCACCATCACCACCCAGAATCACATCCACACTAGCATGCCGATTCGAATCAGGCCAAACCCATCAGACCAAAAGGATCGAGCTCGTCACCCGGCGTGCGGAAACAGGGGATGGAGCCCGGGAAACAGGGGAAGGAGCCAGAAACAGGGCCGAGAACGAAGCGTGGACCGACAACGTGACATGCCCCGCTAAAAAAGGCAAGAAGGCTGAAAGAATAAAGAATGTGAAAAGTAGAAAAATAGACGACAAAGGTGGATTATTGGCGAATAAAAGATTGGTTGTATGTTTATTATTAAATATGCCTAAGTAGAAAGAGAGATGAGAAAGAAAGTGCGATCAACCAGATTTTGATAGCCGAATTAGACAGGAAAAGGGAAGCTCCGAGAATCTGATCCGTCTTCGGGTCAAAGTCAACGATGAACCAATGAGGATTCTAGATCGGTTGGCTTTTATTTGGGTTATCATGCATCCTGAAATTTCATACGGCACTTAATTTGATGTCATAACTGTTCAACTAATTACTTGAACGTTAAGATTTTTGAAAAAAATGTTTGCTTGAGTGAAGCAAGCGATTTCTCTTATCGCGATCACAACACTTTTAGCGAACGCCTTTAGAAGTTATGGCATTTAAACGATCGATTAAAAAAATTACGATATCAAATTAAGGGTCGTATCTTCATACGACGCTTGTGGGGGACATATGCCGCGTCAATTGAAAGGAAAGTTGAGGGGAAAGAAAGGAAAGGAAATGGAAGGAAAATAATGAACCGGGATTGTAGTTACTAGTTACCAGGCACTGCTTGGTTGTATGTTGAATAGAACTGACCGCGGAGGAAATAAAGTTAGTAAATTAATTGAAGTATCTTTGTCATGTTTAGATTTGAGCAAAGGTGAGGAATAGTTATTCAAGAACAAAAGGCTGTGGAAAATCCATTTCGATTTTCGAAGGAAATAAATGTTCGGTCGTCTGAATTTTTTTGTCGGATAGGAAAATGATCGGGTTTGTTATATCACATGCAATGTTTGGTTAATGTCTAGATATAGCATGGATATAAATACCTTGAATCAAGTCAGTCATTCTCTGTCACAAAGATAATTGCTCGCACTATGCCTCACCATTACCATCGTGGCCATCAACCGTCATTCGATGCCTCTTGTCGTCTAACCTTGTAGCCGCCACCCGTCTAACCTCATGGAGACCAAACTGCTCTGTCCAGAATCTTTCACAGACGAAGACGGGTTTGCCCCGCCCAAAACAAGAAGAGAAATGTGATCTTGAACTCCACAGCTAACAACAATTCGTATACATGAAGATGATCAAATTCAAGCCAAAATTTGAATCTTGCAGACTCTGCAACAACTGAGAGAGTGTACAACGAGTCAAAACTCAAAAGCATCCTCAGATTCCGACTTCAGATTAGAAACGCAGCTCAGATTCAAACCAATGGAGCAATGATGGCGTGACTGCTGGGCCTCCAGTATCTCGTCGGGTCGAGCTTGAACTTATCAACACTAGATCTGATAGTCTCGTGGAGCCTGATCGAGCTTTCATTATTCTTTTAAGAAACATTTAATAAATACAAAAATAGACACAAAACGCACAAAATTCCTTACTTGTAAAGCTCGAGCTTATAAGGTGATCATAAATGAGTTGAGTCAAGTTCGAATATCTTGGATCTTTCAGTTGAGTCGAGGTGAGTTTTGAGCATCGAGTATGCAAATCGAGACAAGCTCAAGCTTGTAGTGGATCGACTCGACTCAGCTCGATTACGCCCTTGCACACCCCCATTGCAAAGAGCTACTATTCTTTGTTACTCGATGCATGTGGGCGCAATTAACATATTCTTATATTAAGTGAGGGGGCGATGCATGTAACACGAGAGGAGGCAAGTTTTGCTCAAAACAGAGGACTATCGTGTGCTTCGGCATAGCCACCAACACAGAGATCCGCTCTTGGTGGCCTACACGATTTTATTTCAGTTCATCAAAGGGCGACGCTAATTCCACACCCAAAAACACATCCTATGAAAATCAATCCCCTTCCAATGTTGTTTCTCGATCAAGAGAAAGAACAAAACAAACCCAACGGCCACATTGTTGGCCTTTATTGAAAGAGCTCTAAGTTGTCGTGAAGTTTGTCGATTAATCCTTTTTCCAATAGAGTTCGTAGATATGAGAGAATCAAAGAGGTTGTGGGGATACATTTCTACATAAAAGTGTGTCGAGGGGAAAGAGACTTTAAAGAAAAGAGGAACATTGCATGCGAAGGAGTCAAATTGTCCAAATGAAAAATGGGAATAGATGTTTAAATCCTTATCACTCTCATACTTGATGGCAGCGATAAATTTCTTTTTTTTTTCCCTTGATACAGAGAGTAAGTTCTTTCCGACCACATCAATATGATATTCGATGATCCTCCCTTTACCTTTTCCCAAAAGTCACAAATTGGACATCTCATTAGAATGACACGCAAACATGTAAAATTGCCACGTGCCATCCAACTAAGTAATTTGACGATAAAATTTAACGGAAACTAATAGAGAGCAAATTTGTCATGGGTATATCAGTTTGGAGTTTTTAACGGTCAAAAAATTAATTTGGAGTAAATTTATCACAAATATACTAGTTTTTGGGTTTTTTGTGATATTAACCCTATTACAACCCACCCATCGGTAGCCGCGTTGGTTTGCACTCAGTTCCTTTCACGAGAGGTCCTGGGTTCAAAACTCGCCCATCGGTGATTTAAGTGGGGGGTCGTGGCGGTGGGATGCTGCGCCAGCCCCCCTCGAGGACTAGTCGGGCATCACCGCTGGTTTGAGCCCTAGCTCGCCGGCCGCGCGGACACCTCGATTATCAAAAAAAAAAAAAAAACCCTATTACTTATTTTTGTCATTAGAATTTGAGAAGCAAATGGCATTCAGTTTTTGTTGGGCCACTATCATGTTTATTGTTGGGCCACTTTCACGTTTGGCCTTTCAATCGATAATGACATGCAAACATGTAGGATACAGCAAAGGACTAATTTTGTGTAAGGAAAAATGCAGGAGAGGAGGCTGAAGATTTGATTGATTAGAACGAATTAGGAAAGGGACGAGGGGGGGTTTGCGACAGATATTTCTCTTTAATGCGTATTTTAGACAATTACATTAAAAAATCTGCGTATTAAGCCATTTAAGGTGTGAAATTAGCGCGATCGATTTTTGCTCAAACATGAGCACATTGCCACTATTTGATAAGCACCTGACCATAGGATAAATCAATCCAATATGGAATTAGCAAAAATTGGCTACAGAATTTAATTTCTCGCGAGACATAACTTTAATTACAAGGACATAGCAGAGCACCCACGAAAATCGGTGACAACACGCTGCGAATTCAACCTAATGGAGGTCCATCGCAGGGAAGAAACCAAACAAAGAATCGGCTCGGATGGTCGGATCGCCGCCGCAGCACGTAAGAGGAGGATCTAGTGCAAGAGATATGTGATCGCGAGGGCAACTAACAGGAGGATGTACGCAAGGCCTTGATCAATCGCCTTCCCTGCATTCAAGAAAGAGAAGCAACATAAGGCACGATCGGTCGACTGATCTCGAAATCAAAGTAATGATCATGAACGCAATGATTTCTGTCGCCTAAAGAATAGAGGGTGCTTCGGCCTACCGTCGTTGGAAGGAGCTTCCGGCGCGGGCGACGGAGCCACCACGGACTGTCCGTAGCCGAGCTGAAGAAGAGTCAAGAACATGAACCCAACAATGACTGGCACGAAGCAGGACCTCATCGCGTTCATCGTGCCGAGAAACCGCTCCAAAAAGCAGCAGAACCGCGAGGCGAGGGCGGAGATCGGAACGAGAACCGGAACGGGGAGAAGAGGGTCGGGATGGAGGATTGTGCAGGCGTCGGGTTAGGGATCTTGAGGTGCTTTATATGATGATGCAGGTGGGGTCAATTTGCATTTTCCTGGAAAGTGAGAGAAAACACGTCGGGAACACCGAGTTTTCGACCTTTGACTTCGCCGGGGGGGGGGGGGTGGCGGGCGGAGGAGAGGGCGGCTGGCTTCGTCTTTGACTCGGGGACGGCCCACGGCGATGAGGGCGACTCGTGCGCTGCCTCGTGGCAGATTGGCGTCGCACTTTTGACCGATGGTGGGAACTGAACGACCCTTCTTCATTTCTTTAATCTTTTGGCCGAGATTTCAACGCACGTCACTTCCTTGAGAGTTCCCATTCGGCAAACCCCCACCCGTTCCTTCCTCTCGCGTTTCTCCAGATTGCTAGAACGCGTCGAGCGTCTTCTGGATTTGGACAAACTCATCACGGAAAACATCCGCCCAAAGATTTAGGAAGTTGCGACAGAATTAGTGATCGAGTACAATTGGATCCCGGTTAACTTCGCCTTCCATTTCATCGCGACTAGACAATCGCGACGGGCCGATCGAGTCAAAGTAATGTGGTCGAAGCCCGGTTTTGGCTTTGGTTTTTCCACAGAAAGGGCACTGTTTTCTTGGGTGTTCCGGGAGCTGGACGTATCGATCGCTATCATATAAAGGTCACAAGCGGAAGGCTGCTGAGCTGAGCTCTGAGCTGATATCTGTGTATTTCAACCATGTGAATCAAGAAAACAGGGAAGACTCCGGTTGTTGTCGTTTTATCGACGTTTGAGTCCGATCAGAATCGAAGAACCCGAAGGAGGAACTGAACTCGGGTTTAAGGATTGTGATCAGGATAGAACCCATCACCCATCCAGTTGCTTGTGCCAGAAACAAGTTCAAGAACATGGCATTTTGATGAGAGATAAAACTCTTAAACCAGGATTCGTTGTCCTTCGATGGATCAGTTCTCCGTCATCCAAATATTGGAAAGACTAAGAAACATTTTCTCGAAAAGCGGTTGTTCATTGACCAAGCTGCCCATTAGTAGTGATAAGGGAGGATCGAACCTCTACGAGTTAACCGTCAATTATATCCAAATCGAAAAGCATCATGTAAAAACCAATCGACATGAACACAACGTGATGCAAACCTAAATCCGGTTCATATAGGGCCTCGTATGAAAATGAATCCTCATACAAAATCATCTGCGACAGAAACCGATCTCTTATGACAGCCCATATCGAAGACATCGCGTGCACACTCATGTGAGCTCTTTAGATGTCCCTTATCAAGTAGCTTTTGAGCGAGCATCACTTCCTCGACGAATGGATAGTGTGAAATTTTATGGGACCACTGTCAATTATTCTAAAAGTTCAAGCCGTTAGATAGATACGTAATTTATTACTTAAATATTCTGACAGATGGGACTCGATCGCATCTCACCACCCTCCATCGAAAAGCCAAAAGCAGCAGCACAATTCTCCCGGGAATCAAAGGAGAAGATTGACAAATCAAAAGCGCTTTATGCCAAAACTTTACTTAGCCCCCGTCTCTCCTTCATTCGCTTTCTTCTGCCGCTGTATCATTCCGCAATCGCACATATTCCTTTCTTTCCGATCCCCTTTCTTCACACCCCTCCATATAAGAACAGAGACTATTCGCTCGCTCATCAGCTAAGGTTTTGCATCGCCAATATGTGCCAGCCGAACCTGCCGGATTTCATCCCCGGGGAGCCGACTCAGCGTTCGAGATGGCGGGTTTTGCCGGCGACGGACATGGGTCCGGCGGTGGATGCGGATGTGCCGACTAGGGAGGTGGTGCGAGAGGCCAACGGCGGGGGTGGCGCGACGAAGCGGTGCGTGTGCTCGCCCACGCGCCACGCGGGGTCTTTCCGGTGCAGGCTCCATCTCGCGGAGTATGTGTGGAGAAGAAAATGTGCGCACTGACTACATGGATGTCTCGGTCATGTACAGAGATTATTGAGATACAAATGATGTGTGGGGAGTGAAGGTGAATAGGTTGGTCATCAACATCATCTTCTTGCTTTTTCTTTATCACCTCAATGATGAATGTTTGCGTGGTAAGAAGTCTATATCTAGTCCATTCACTTTGATTGATGTATAAATTCACAGATCACGATCTTGGTTAGTGCCCGGCAACTTGCTTTAATGCGTCGAATTCGAGTTATGAACTCGTACAAACCGATCCGAGATTGTGAAATCCGAACCAGTGCCTCCATCGTGACCTGTCGGATTCGGATTACGGACTCGGTTTTCTCACGATTTTGTACCGAGAGGCAAGGCCTAAAGATGTTGCTAGGGTGTGCTCACAAGAAAAGGCAAGGCAAGGAAGAAGCCTAGTAACTTTCCCGCAAGGGTAATACGAATCATTAGCCATTGATTTGCATTGGTTGAGCTCACAGAAACATTTTTTTTTTCTGTTGAACCATTAGATGAAATGTGAATCAATCAAATCTCTACATGGATTGAGATTCTTCAAGGTAGATTAAGCACGATCCTAGGGTCAAGACCAGCCTGATTGGGCCAAGCCTAGACCGGCTTTTTTTTTTTTATGTATTGTTTATTTGACGGGCATGTCTCGACGACAAGTTAGTCATGTGTAGAGATCTTGGTCAAATCCGTTCACCTATCTATCGATGATTGTCTACATAGCAAATTGAGTTCACCATTTCGAGAAAATAATCTAATAAGGTACTAAGTGATTAACTTTGTAAGGAATTAGTTCCTTGCGGCCTTGCCAATCAAGAATCGAACTCGGAAATCTCAAGACACGAGGTCACACTGACATCACGATGTCAAGTGTTAACATCTCGCTTGAACTTGGCCAATGATGCATTGAGCCATTTGTGTGTAGGATAGCATACCTGCTACAAGTCTTATTTTCGTCTTCCCTTATTCATATCAAGTAAGACAATGAAGCGAGATCGCCGTTTTCTCAAAAGAGCTTTTAGATTCGATTTTATGCGAGGCTTTGAATTGGCCAATTTAGTCTCATGCTACTACACCCCCGACCAACCGACCAGCTAAATTTTCGTCGACCGGCGAGCATTAGCGCCGCGCGCGTGACACTTTCCGTCTCCGGTCCAGGACCCGAACCAATCTTTCACCGACATCGCATTATGTGGACAATAATAAAAGTACGCAATTTTAGTTCAAACGAGAAGACAAAAAGCCAACAGGAACGGCAGCCCGACAGAACCCAACTTACCAGTCAACGGCAAACTACCATTCCTGCGACCGAACGCTATTGCCACTCCCGTCTACAGGTTCTTATCCGTTATCCCCACAGATCATCGCTCTTCCCCGCACGAGCTTGCGTGGATTTAGCAATCTTGGCGCTTTGGCTTATCGCTAATGCCCCATTAGCTTCTTCGTTATCTTCATCGTCGGTCTAGTTCTTTCTCTCACGGCTTTTCATTTCCTTGTTGTTCGAAAATCCAAAGAAAAGGAGCCCCCTTTTTCGGTTTCTTCACGGACCCTCCTCGTCCCTGATCGGCCTTTCGTTTTCAGTTCAACCTGGAAGTCTTCGCTTTCTGGGGTTCTCCGCCAAAGGGTTTTCTAGTTCGTGCCTGAGCGGGTGTTTGTGGGTGTGAGGTAAAGAGAGGGAGGGAGGGAGGGAGAAGGAGAAAGAGAGAGATTGGATCGAGCGAGAGAGGGATGGCCCGAGCAGGGAACAAGAACATACAAGCCAAGCTGGTGGGTATGTCTTTCCCTTTTCTTGATTTCTCGTCTATGTATGTGTCGATGGTTCTCCTCGAGTTTTGAATTTAGGAAGTGGGATTTTGCTGCATCGATCGAGTGTGGTGCTGCTGTATGTTGCATAGGGTTCGATGCGCTGCATGCTTTTCGATAAAAACTCGCGAAATATTTGCGATCGGCGATGATATTCAGCTTGTCGAATGATTCTTGATTAAGCTCGAGCTGCCGCATAATTCTGCATGGCGGATTGCTTGGATAGGAAGCCAGTTCTTGGAGTATAAGTTCCATTGCTAAAAATTTGCCGATTGTATCCAAAAAAAGGAATGTGCTTGCTAGCGATTTGTTATTTGAAGTTGGTGTTTAGTAGATTGCAGCTTTTCATGTTATCAATGATGAATTGCTACTTGTTATCTAGAATTTCACCATGGCAAAGAAAGATGGCTCTGATCCGACCCCAAAAAAGAAAAAAGAAAGAAAGATGGCTCCGAGAAGGGCTTACTTGAATCTCTTTCTCATAAGTACATTAAACTCCTTGCTGGAAATAAGCATTGACTGCTGCTTATTTAATGACAATGCGGAAATTAGGAAGAAAGTTCTTGATTAATGAAGATACATAACTCTTGTCATAGGTACTTCTCGGGGACATGGGAGCTGGAAAAACGAGTCTGGTGCTGAGATTTGTCAAAGGCCAATTCCACGAGTACCAGGTACATTACATCTGTCCCACCACGCTTCATAACAATTACTGCATCTGCAGCCTCTGACTGGAGTGGGTTGCAGGAATCTACTATCGGTGCAGCCTTCTTTACTCAGGTGTTGTCACTGAACGAAGCGACTGTGAAATTTGATATATGGGATACGGCCGGGCAAGAAAGATATCACAGCTTGGCTCCAATGTACTATCGAGGTGCTGCTGCGGCTGTCGTTGTCTATGACCTCACTAGCATGGTATTAATGTCTCAAGTTTGATGCAACAATTAATGCAAATGCTTTATACTTTTGTTTAGAGGGATGGAAGCAGGGTTCTATCATTTAGTTTTTAAGATGAATTATTCTAGGTTTTGCTTTGATATTGTTGAATGCCATGTAATTACGTGATCTTCTAAGAGGTAGTTTGATATCTTTATGTTTTCTGGTGAAGATAACTTATTATAGAATAAAAGTGATGGAGCATATAAACAAAGTTTGGGCAAGTCCTGTATTTAACATTATAATATTTAGGAGATGGAGCTCATATATTTGCTTCAATGATGTACCACAGGTGGAAAGGCTTGTTGTAGAACTTATCCTCCCTTGATACCTTTTCGTTTACTTGTACCAGTAAGAGATTATCTTAACCAATTCAAGTTCTTTTTCCATGGCTTCAGGACTCATTTCAGCGGGCCAAAAAATGGGTTCTAGAATTGCAGAGACAAGGTAACATTAAAAAATTTATATGAGCTCTTGGTATTGTCTTTTTTTCGACAATTGGAGAGAAGGTTGCTGCTTGTATATAGGGTCAAAATACTAGACAATATAAAGCGTATAATTCTCTAAGATGAGGTTAAAACTTAATTGGATTTTCTTTTTCTTATGTTGAAGTAGTAGGTCTTCGATTTCTGTTTTCCTTTCCAAGCTTCGGCGGGCTTCATTCATTTCGATATTCGCTCTATAAATCATGCATCTACCTTTTTACTATGCTTTGAAGTTAAGTCCATTAATGGTTGCATCTGTACTTTTTATCCTTTAGTAAGAAGCACATTTCATTGAGTAAATAGTACTTTGAAGAGGCGTCTTAGACAATGTGTGTCGGGATGCCGTTTACTCTATTTCAGATTAATGGTGAACTTTCGAACAAGTTTTGTGTATAATTTTATTATCTGTAGAAGTTTAAGCGTTCTGTTTCTGTTAACACTATATCATGCCAAACGTACGGCAAATTTAAGCGTACGGCAGATATTGCAACTCGACCTAAACAAGATCAGTGAGAAATAAGATCTCAAATTTATTGTCTATCTTGTTGTAGCTAGTGAGAGTGTTTTAGTAGTCGTTATAAATTGAACAGTAGTGTTTCGTGAATAATCTTGTATTAATATGACAACAGGGAATCCCAAGTTAATAATGTTCTTGGTGGCAAACAAGGCAGACCTGGATGAGAAGAGGCAAGTACAGAATGAGGTATGTGGAATATGCAACCATCTTTTGGCATAGACTTTTTGGAGAAGGAAACAAAGTGAAGCAACATCAGGATTTTTGGCACTTTTCATTTTTTCGTTGGTGGCATATTACGACACTACTCTTCTTTCCTTTGCCTTTTCCTGGCAGTGAAGGCTGCCTTCATTTTCACCGTGGAGGATGACATATTTTTGGCCTACCGTAGTTGTCTAAATTTGTCTCGCGCATTCACGTTGTATAAGAGATGATAAGATTTTCTATCTATTACATCTGAATCCCACTATTGGCAGTGGCAAGTATCAGTTTTCTGAATGTAAGAAGCCAATCACTTCCTTCTAGTATGCCTGCAATCAAAAACTGATCAAATCATATTCTATTGCTGATGCTCATGGAAATTTTGACTCCCGTCAACGACTATGACATTCATAAAAATCATTTACCTCATCAGCACCTTCACCTTAAATCAAAAGGAACCTCCCTAGTGCTCTCAATCCTCAGGGACTGTGTATAGACTTTCACAGTTCCTTGGCTTTATCAGAGTATGATTTCTCAGCCCACCTAACAGTGTTTTGAGCCTTGCATACCTCCACTGTGCTTTGACCAAAAAAAGCTTCTGCTTTTCTTATGGGGTTTTCTGTGTTCCTCTTAAAAATAAAGTTATGAGCTGCATGCAACTTTACCATTGAGATGGATGTAACCGCAAGCTCCGTTCCTGATGTCATGCATGCGTATATGCATGGCAATATCTGATTTCTCTCAACATCAGTGATTACTCAAGTGACATCTATATTTCAGGAAGGCGAGCAATATGCAAAGGAAAATGGTTTGTCTTTTCTTGAAACATCAGCAAAGACTGCACAGAATGTCAATGAGCTTTTCTATGAGATAGGTAATTTCATGGCTTTAAATGTTAATTTTTCTGTTTGACAAGGGAAATGTTTTATTTTAGTTGGCTGAGCTTACTGCTCATGTGAAACTGGATACATTTACCAATTAGGCTGGCCCGTTTATCAAGTGGATAGAAATTGCCAACCTCAAACGTCCTGCAGCTGGTTTTTCTGCTGGAAGTTTAGATATAAGCAATTTCTGGCTGCTCAAAATTTTTCCCCTCCTTTTTTCCCTCAAATGTTGAATTTGTCCAAAAGTATTGCAATTAAGATAACCGTGCTCCAGATGTAGCTCTATTTTGTTGCGGTAAATGGTCTGACTGATTTATCTATTGAGGATTTCCACTTAGCCCCAATAAGCTTCAATAATTGTACAAACGACTTTTTGCAGCAAAGAGAGTTGCAAAAGCTACTCCTTCTCGACCGGGTGGAATGAAGCTGCAGAGACAAGAAAGTCGAAGAAGCGTATTTTGTTGCTCGGGGTGATTCCAGTGCTTGCTCTTTGTACGTATTTGCCTCCATGATTCTTTTACTGAGAAGATGGGTTAGTTAAAGTTAGCATGAGATAACTATTGATGAAAAATAACTCGTAAGTCGGTGGGGTTCGACAGTGAACTATCATAACGAGTGCATACCATTCATTCTGTGTAGAGGTTTAGACTGCCAGATATGTTGTTTGTTAGGTTCAGTGTTCTTGCTATCGTAACTTTTGGATCTTCCCTATATCCTATACGTGCCATCTTTGCCGAAATGTTACAGATTTACCCTTTGCATTACTCTTGTTCTGTGTTCTCAGTAAGGAAATTGCTGCGAATGGCTGCGGTGGACGTACCTCTTGTGGTTGTCGATGTTGAAGACGGAATCTCATTTGGACCCCTGGCTCGTGAATACTTTCATATGTACACAATATTTTCAGCGGACAAAACCTTTTCTTACAGCTTCCAATTGTATCACATTCTCCTTCATGTGGAAAGGGTTATGAAACTCATAAGCAATGAGAAATGTTGCTCTGAAAATGATCATTGTTCGTAACCTTGTGTTTGGCTTCTTTAAGCATGTTATATGGAGGATCCATGTTGCTTTACACTGATTTGGGAAAGGAGTGAAAAGGCCGTGGAAAAGTTACTAGTCTTATATAACTAGTTTTAATTATACATATATAATATGCAATTCTTCATATAACAAAATTTCTAATCAAATGGATGAGTTTTATAATTTATGAATGAGAGATTTATATTCATAATAACACTGTTTTTCTTTTTCTTTTTCTTTTTTTGCTAAAGAGATATTCATGATAACACTTGCTGCGCGTCAAATGCATAAGTCACTGATCATGTATGAACTCTTATCTCTCTATATTTTTACTTGGAGAAATTACTAAAGACTAAAATGCTCAACCTTACTTTTCTATGTGGATAATTGCTATCCAGACGGAGAACTAAACAGTATTGTTACTGTTTTTCTAAAATTTGAAAAAGGGTTACGAAAAAATTATGTGCGATTTTAAAATTGAAATTGCATGAGCCATATGCATTGGACCCATCAAATTGAATGCACGAGTTGAATCCACATAGTAATTCAACTTCTAGGCATAATCTAGCAAATCAATGATCAACTTGGGCATGTGAAGGCAACAGCTTAAATGAAACGCTCTTGCTTCTGAGACAATAGATGTTGCTTAACTATTTACATGAGAAACAGCTCATGACCTCGATCAAATCCCAGAGTCAACTAGCTCCGTTTTAAGTACGAGCAAATTCATTTTAGACAGGTAAATCTCGAATCTATGAATACCCTCTTAATGTTACGATCAAGCAAAACCTCGAGCTGGAACCTAAACGATCGGCCCCAAAGATAGAACCATATTTGCACTTGGTGGTTTGGGGAAACGGATTGAGAATACATCGTTTTCTTTTTATGAATTCAAGATAACTTTCTTTTACACAAGGGGGGAAAAGAAAACGAAATTTCTTTCGAAGGCAGTCGAGCATGCAGGCTTGATCTGAAAGATTGTTTTTAGAAAATAATTGTGCAGGCTTACTGAACATTTAGGTATTGATCCACTTATTTTACCGGTACATCCATACACAATACGCACATCACGATATTCTGTGAGCAAATTTGCAAGTGTTGTTCACAACATCATTCGAATAAAGAAATGGTCGATGCAGGGAGCAGTTGGAATCCAAAGAGAGGACTGAATCGTCATCGGCTTCAGTGCGTTGGAACCAAACAAAACCATGAAAAACAGCGAGACTTTCACTTCTTTTTTGAGCCCAATTTGTTCTTTTTATGACTCCATCGCAGTTCACATGCCAACTCTCGTAATCCCAGCACAGGCCAACAAGCAATGGACAAGAAAGCCTGCCTGCTTCCTAAGCTCTGCTAAGATATAAGAAGCTGGACGATGTACTGCCAGCTTTCCAAGAACACCCGCACATATCAGACCAAAACAAAAGTAAAGTAAAAGCACTGTCTCTGCTAATAATTTATAGAAGAGATGTCAGCAAAGGAATGAAAAGGAGCAAGGAATCACCAAAAGGAAAAAAATCAGTAACAGTTTCGGTCAGTAGAAGCGTGGCTTAGGTGGACGAGCCCAATGTGCCTGCCTGTAAAGAAAGAAAGTCGCGCAAACCTACCCTCCATTGATCATCACTTGATGATGACTCCAAAAAGTTGTAGAACAGAGCAGATTTCTACAATTTTCATTTTTGCAGAAGATGTGCTAAACTGAACTGAGCTTAACTACCATGAAGGAGAAGTAGATGGGGTTCCTGTGGATGAGAACGAGAGGCCATTGTTGCTATGTGAATGAGAATCACTCCCTCATGTGCACAGAGACCCTGCATCTCTCAATGGAGCAGAGCAAGGCCTGAGCGGGGAGTTTCTTCATTGGGGTCATTGGAGGAGTGACGAGATTTTGCCTGGATGATGGTTCAGCCTCTTCTATGTCTCTGTCATCGTCACCGGAAGAAGTTCCGGCCTCTAACCTCTACGGCAACGAGTCGGGAGTCTCAAATGGAGTGTTCACCAGTCGATTCAGGCGGTTCACGCCATTGTCGTAGATAGGGTTCGATATATGTACACCAGATGTTCAGATGTATTCCATAGTAATAACTTCCTTGCACAGAAAAGTTCTGAAAGCGTTGTGTCATGTCGATGACAATCGTGTTTGTGGATAACTAAACGGTAGGCCACTAAGGAGAAAAGTGAGTTTGCCTCTTGCAAATGCAAGTGCCCTAATACAAGTACTAGGCAAGCACAATCCAATGTGTTAAGGACAATCTTGTGGAGGCACTTTGCTTGATGGTGCTCGGCGTGTAAAATTGCTAATAATATCTTTCTGAAATTATAGGACACCCTGGGTGGCGATGCAGGCAGAGAGTCTTCGCACCCCGGGGACAGCGTTGTAGCAGAGAGCATCATTCTGCTGATGTAACCAGGACAGTGTGTCATAGAAGGGAGCATCATTCTTCCGGTGGATCCGCTTAACTTCCTCTTAAGGCTGCAAACTGAGCTGCCAAATCATCATGATCCGGCAAGTTCGGGTGCACGTGCCCAGCCGAGTTGGGCCTGTCGGGCTGGAAATGAAGCAGCACGAGTTGTTTGTTCACACGGGAGGGAAACTGATCGTGCAGGAAGTGAAACGATTTCCGGGTCCTCATCGTAGTTCTCAGGCCTGCTACGATCAACTGGGGATCCACCAACTTCAGCGTCCGAGCCATGGGCACGACGGCTTCTACTCTTTTCTTCTTGCTTTCCCGGGTTCATGGGCGGAAGGTTTCTTAATGTTAGTGCATGAACAGCTTGTCAATGATTCTTTCCTCCTCATCTTTCGGGTCACGCTCATCGTCAAACAGTATCTGCAGGCCACGTCTCGAATCATCCCTTCTCCTACTTCTTGATGGTCTTCTTTCAGCAAGAGCATTGTCGAATGTTCCCTTCTCCCTGATTTTGGTTTTGGGATGGGGCATGACCGGGCTTGTTATCATGGTGTAGCAAACTGGATTAGCATCACCATGACTTGTCACACTCTTGCAGGCCCAATATTCTTTCTCTCGTCATCAGGACAAGATGAACCCTCCATGGACTTTTTCCAACGAATGGACCAGGAAATTCGCGCTTGGGCATTGAAGGAACTTTCGAGCCTTCAGAAACAGACTCCCCAGTTGGATCCATGCTTGCCATCCGTCGTTGGGTTTAACATTTGGCTCAACATGAGGAGGTGGGATGGTACTTCTGCAGTAGGGCCTTTCCGTCTCTTCTCCCTTGGCCTTTTCTCAACGAGTTGGCAGCACGGTCTTCATTGCCATTATCGTCATTAGCAGATGCCACTTTTCCATCTCACGTCGAACGTGTAAAAATATTTTACACTGGCAGTGTACTTAATAATAATCCTACTACTATATCAAATTATCGTAGCTCAAACCCTGTATTGCCGCCAGAAAAAGCACAAATTTGACATGCAAGGAATCGCCTCCCTAAGTTCACACCTAAGTCCATGATGCATCTTCCATCGACCATTCCTTCAACATATGCAGTTGTGTCCTCCATCCCTTCAATCGGAGTTTGCCCTACTCTGAAGCCCAAAATATGTCTCACTTTGCCCCCTTTTGGCCGGTTTTAATCGGAGAAGTTGGTTTTGGGGGGATATCAATGTCCCTGCCCAACGGTTACGTACCCATCGCCATAGTGGTTTTTAGCACCGGCGATGAGTCAAGGAGTCAATCGGAACTCGGTGACTCACTTCGAGGGTATTTTCCAAGTACGTCCCCCTCCATGGGGTGGGGTTGCTTGTAACTTTCCCTCGATTCCTAAGTTGGATCGGCATGGATTTGTGAAATTCAGCGACTTGGCGACGTGCATTTTAGCGTTGAAATTGGTTTGTGGGTACTGTAATTCAGGTACTCGACAGATCATTTGCAGTGTTGAAGATGGAATCTCATTCAGACCCTGGCTTGCGAATACTCTTCATATGTACACAGTATTTCACCGAACAAAACCTATTGTTACAACTTCAATTGTATCACATTCTCCTTCACGTGGAAAGGTTTATGAAACTCATAAGCAATAAGAACAATGCTGCTCTGAAATTTCGGTGCTTAAAATTTGATGAAGAGTTTTAGAGGAGATCCCTGTTTCGTGCTCCCATTGCACTACTGCTAGTGAGCGACACTAGATAAGTGGTTGCACTTGTGTCACGTGTAGTAACTTTACATTGTGGAAAAATTACTAGTCTCATATAATTGGTGCCGATTAAAGGTATATAATGAGAGAGATTTGTGTTCATAACAGCACTTGTTACACGGGATAGGTTACTAAGGCTGCGCATGACAACTTGCCAAACAGTGTTTGATTCTGTTCTTTTGTTCTCAGAATCAGTTTGGGAACAGAAATGCGTTTGTTTAATTTTTTTGATTCTGGGCACAATTTTGTCAAAAATTGTTCCCAGAATCAATTTTAAAGAATAAAAAAAAAATAGCTTCTTGATTCTGGGAACAATTTTGAGAATCAATTTTTTTTCTTCTTCCTTTTCTTGGTTTTTAATGTAGCTTCTAATGTCCGGCCCGAGGACCGCTCTCGCCGGATCTGACGAGATTAAAATATTTTAATAAAAAATATTATTATTAAAAAATATTATTAAAATAAAAAATATTTTACCGGCCATGGCCGGCGACCAATCCATGGCCACAAAAATAAAAAATATATATTTTTAATAAAAATATTTTAATAAAAAAATATTATTAATAAAAAAATATTTTACGGCCATGGCGTGACTGGCCATGGCAAAAAAAAAAATATATATTTTTATTAAAAATATTATTAATAAAAATATTTCGGCCATCGGCCATGGCCAAAAAAGAAAAATATATTTTTAATAAAAATATTTAAAAAAATATTTGATCAGCCATGACCGGCGACCAGGCCATGGCCAAAAAAAATAAAAATATATATTTTTAATAAAAATATTTTAATGAAAAAATATTTTACCAGCCATGGCCGGCGACCAGGCCAT